GCAGCAATACAAATGTTAGGTTTACATCATTTTGATATATTTTTAAAATATTTAACAGTTGAACATCGAAATTCTATTGGATCAATCGCTTTACATACACATAATTCTAATCGAAGAAATACGACAACAGATGCTTCAAGTATTAAATTATTAAAAGTGATAAATAATGGTACGAATAATGGGAGTCCGACTTTATCAGGATATAAAACACGGTTTTCAAGATGATTTATTATTATTTTGTTTTTTTTTCTCCTGTGATATTTTCCTTCTTCTTCTTTTTTTTTTTGTAAAATCAAATAATTATTTTTCAATAAATCAAAAAAAGATTTTTTTCCTATATTAATTCAATAATGAACTATATTTAGATATTAACAAAATCTTTTAATAAATTAAAAATTCCTGTTAATATGCCCGCAATGTTATTGAATTATCAACTATAGACTCACCTTTTTTAAAAATAACTCTAACACAATCAGACACAAAATTAATAAAAAGAAAATATATTAAAAGTTTGAGAAAAAAGAAAATTTTTATTTTTATTTTTGACATGTAAGAAATATTAAAAATATTGAGTTTGACATGAAATACTAGTAATATAAAAGACAAATAAATAAACGTGACTTATAGTCATTTTATTAATGAAAGGTTCCTATCTTTTCAAACGCTATAATTATCAAAGAGCACAAATCATGTTTATTTTATATGCTCAATCATAAGCACGACATTTCTTCTAGGCGTAGATTCATAATTTAGATGTTTTTTTTGAGAAAACATTTTTAAATGATTGCATATCTTGGAAATTTACAAAAATAAGAAAAATAAAGGAATTTTTAGTATGGATTTCTATTTAAATTAATGTTCTTAGATAGAAATCTGGTGTGTAACATAGAAGTTTTATTTGACCTTGTTTTTCCAAGTAAAGAAAAAAAAATGTAATTGAGGAAGTTTTTATGACATTTTTATGTTTGAAATTGATTCTGTGGAAATAATAGGAAGGAAATTACCAATACTTAACATCGGATATTTCTTTGAAGGATCAACAGATTTTATCATTTTATTTATATTAATATTTATCAATAGTCATTTTATGTAATAGACCTTCGTTTTTTCAAAAATATTCACGAGATTTTATATTTTAATTAAATTCTTTTTTTTGACTCTGTGACATATTCAACATGATTAGATTATTTTACTGTAGGAACAAAAAAGATAATGATTATGAATCTAGAATTAACGGAACCTGTGATATGTTGTTAAAGGACACTTTTTATTTTTCCAGACATGAAATTTAACAAAACATTTTTTACGACATTTCTCACTAGATAAATTTTTGTCTAAGAAAATATTATCTAATCTAAAAAGAAAAACATTGAATAAAAAGACTTTGTTTATCTATAAATATGGAATGAATAATATGGAAATGAATTTTTCTATTAGGATTCATTATTTATGAAATTCTAATCCATTGATAAATAGAATTATTTTATAGATTTCTTTAATAAACTTGTCATTAATAATTCTTTTCAATGTTAACAAATAATAAAATTTGATTTTAGAATAGAATAAAAGTCAAAAAAAAAACAAATCAACTATCTAAATATGAAAATCATCTTTCTTTTTTCTTATTGAATAAATTATTATTCAAATTGGTTTTATAATATATTCATATAACTTTAGAATAAATCCTCTTATTGACCATATATATTCTAATCTAAGGTTAACATTATCAATTTCTTCTTTTATAATATATATATTAATCGATATTTAATATTAATAAAAGAATATAACATCAAAAATGAATAGTATCATTATTGTGTAAATGTTGTTATTTTGAATATCTTAGTAAATATATATATTAAAATCTGCCAACAATATATCATGTCACAATTATGAAATAAATTATCAACATAGATAATATTTATATATGTCATTTCAATAATACTAATATAACTGTCCAAACAAATCATTGACTAGAAGAAAAGGATAAATAATAGAATATTATCAAGTATTCAAACATAAATCTTTTCATATGTTATTATTCAACAAAAACTCATTGTTACATATTAACGATCAATAGAATATGTCTCATAAATTTCTTACCTAGAACTTTTATTTAATTGAGATAACACAATTTATCTTTTTAATTATATACCACAATTTGTGATCCATAAATATATCGCATACCATGAAATATCATTTCTAAGTGTCAACAAGTAATAGGAAACATTCAATGAGACGATTTTAGAAGAAAATGTTGATAGATTCGTAGACTAATTGTATATAAATATAGATACTTTTTTTGTATTTAAAAATAGAAAAGAAATTATCAAATAAGAAATAGTAGCATAACAAAAGCATGACCTAGTTAATTAATTCTATTGCTAACCTAATGACTTCTTCAAGACTAAAGACGCTAAGAAAATATTGTCTTCAAAAACAGACAAAAATAAATGAGTTCACAAGTGACAGATCAATTGACATGCATAAGATCATGAGTAATCTAAGAACTTTCTGTCGGTGAACTACATCCTTTATAAAATATTCATATTCAGACATAGACAAATCAACTGATTCCACCAACTTTTATGTCTTATTAATTTTCAAAAAAAAAACAATCGTTTCGAAAGGATTAACGATTTTAAATTTTGTAATTCAACGAATATACTTTTTCAAAATAATTTCATTCTCATTTAATTGTTGTTAGCACATGTGATTAATATCGTTGCAGTTTTTCTTGCAGTAACGTATCTACAGTTATTTTCAAGTTTTACAAGGAAAGAATATAACGGTTTGTAAGTTCATTAGAAATAGATGGAGACGCGACGATCACCTTGCTTTTGGATTTTACGTTGAAAATAGTAAAAATACGACTTATGCCTACTGTATCCCTCCTCCCGTGTTTCTAGCACCTCCGTGCGTCTCTGAAAATAGAAAATCTATCGTTTAAGCAAAATATCTTAAAATATTTTTATAACAACGATCGTCATATGACGACATCTATGGAAAAATATATTGTTATTTTAATAATAAAATCGAATAAAATAAAAAAATAAATTTAAAAAAATTTAATTTTAAAATCAAATAAAAATGAAATGTTGATTGGTAAAAAAATAAACCTTTTAAAAAAGATAACAATGGGAAATAAAGAAAAGGGAATAAATGCAAACAACTACGTTTATCAAATCGAATATCGAATAGAATTTTGTTTTTATATTAATTTGTCATAATGGTAACAAATACAGTCAATTCATCAAATGAAATGATAAAATTACCAATAGAATTAATAAATATTGTTTGGGGTTCAGATATTGAAATGTCAATATTTGAACGTTGGTCTCAACCATTTCAATTTTCAATTGATGAACCATCTGCATTAATTCAACATGAAGGTGGTCCATGTTCTGTCTTAACAACAGTTGAAGCACATTTATTAAATGAATTAATATTTTGTAATCGTTGTAATATTAATTGGCGTCAAGCATCATCAGATGAAATTGATCTTCATTTTTTAAATGCACTTGTATCAATTTTACAATTATTATCATCATCAAATAAACAAATTTATTTAGCAAATTATTCTAATGAAAAAAAAAACTTTAAGTATAAAACAATTTCATGATGAAATTAAATTTTCTTTATGTCAATCAAATATTGATTTAAAACAACAAATCTTTTCACGTCTTCATATGTGGAAAAATACTTATGGTGTTTTACTTTTTCTTTATTCATGTTTAATGACAAAAACAATTGATTTATTAAAAAAAGAAATTGATGATGAAACATCATTACCATTAATTGATATTGCACATGGACATGGAAGTCAATGTTTAACAAATTTATTAATAACTGGTTTTGCTACACCACATTGTTTTGATGGAGATAAAGATATATCAGGTTTAAAATTATATGGAATACATCAACAAGCTTCGATTGGATTTTTATCATCACTTGAAATGTATCGATTAATGGAAGTTGGATGGTTTTTAAAAAATCCCAAAAGTCCCATTTGGATTCTTGGATCAGAAACACATTTAACTGTCATTTTTTCTCGAGAACAAGCATTAGTCGAACAAGATACTGATACACCGAGGAAAAAAGCATTGAAAAGTATGTTATTTACAATTAATATATTATATACTTATCATGAAAATATATTTTCATTATCGAGAGAAAAGTCGTTTCTAGTTGATCCTACGAACTGTTAATATTCACCAGACTCATCATAATTATAGTCTGGTACTTACTGATGCATTCATGAGTATTGTGTATGAGAGATTTACTAGCGTAATTTCCTTAAGAATATCCTTTTCCTGTAGACGGATCATAGATTTTGAAGATACAAAAATATCTAACATTAAATCTGACTTATAGTGGTTGATCTTTGACCTTGGACCTGTGAACTCACAACCAATGTTATGTAGATAGGATTCTCATTGTCTTCTATGATTTTAGAACATATTTAATAAAATAATTATTTTAGCATTTCAGACTATTTTCAAACTTGTTCTACTACAAAAATTGTTTTTACATTTTTTCTTCTTTTTATCATAAAATAATCATTCTCTATTGTTACATTGCATACATAAATAATAATTCCATAGATTATCTATTCAAACTATTTCTCATAAAAATATTTGTTTGTTTTTTCGATCTCCAGAAATAATTTCATATCATTTCGTTGTCTATACAAGAATATTTTCTATATTAATAAGAGAGAGTTTTCTTATTTAATTTAAATAAATATAATATTTTTTTTTTAGTTTTTAATAAATATGATACTGAAAAGAATGGTTTTATATCGAATTCTCTTCTTGATGAAGTAATAACTGAAATAATTCAATTATCAATATTAACAACAACAATTCCAACAATTAATCAATTAAAACAAAGAATGGATCCAGATAGTTTACAGATAATAACTGAACAAGCATTTTTAGATGAATTATTTCCTCAAGATAAATATCAAAATTCAACTAATGAACAATTTAGTCCATTAAATGGAAAACCATTTGTACTTTATCATTATAATGGTTTACCAAGATCGAATAAAGATAAAAAAGTTCGTTATGCATCTGCTGAAGCTACAATTTCAGATTATGGTTATGGTAATGATACACCAGTTTCAGCTGTTGCACCAGTTCAACCAGGTTTATATACTTTTTTTCTTCTTCTTTTTTTCGAAATATTATTTTTTTTTTTGAATATATTTTTAGGAACTTATTTACCAATAACAGGTGTATTAAGAACAAAATGGCCAACAATTGAATTAAAATGGGATGATGATGCTAAACCATCATTAAATTAAACATTTCAAATGTTTTCTTTTTTACTTTGTTACACAAGAGACATTCTAAGCAAAAAGATTTTTATGTTAATAGTATCTCATTTATTGTCAACATTTCCTTTGTTTTCTTTTTAAATCGACAAGATAAATCATTAGGTTCGTTTTTATTATGTTTTTCTTTTATTAATTTTCATCAGATTTTTGACATTGGTTTATATTGAGTTATTCACTTTATTTCATATTCAAGACGAATTTATTAAGAAATATGTCAATATCCTATCATCTTATTTAACAAATATATTTTTTTTCTTCATGTTCAAAACAGAACTCGATTTTAATTATACTTTATGAGAATTTTTTTTATAAAACTTTAGTTGTTTTAGAAAGATTTATTCACAAAATTTCGACAATCTATAATCGATCGTTTAAAATCTTTTATTAAAAAAAATTGAGTATTTATTTTAAATTTTAAAAGAAAAAATTTATCGAACTTTATAGAAAATCATAATAGAATTAAGAGATTTTTGTCTTTTTCTTATGAATTACGTGAAAATATATAAGATTTATGAATAGTTTAAATTAAAAACATCGATAATAATAAATTCATTCACCATGTTAATAAGATCTATAATACATCGTTTATTTTTACTCGATTTACGAAAAAAAAGTCTTTTCTTATAGAAATATTTCTTTTCTAATGAAGAATTTTTGAAAAAGGATTAGCTCACTGTCACTTTTCTCTCTAGAAAAATTATTAAAGATAAAAATCTTATTTAATAAAATAAAATTTCCATAGTTGATCTCTTCTCTTTTTTTCATCTATAAATAAATTATTTAATATACTTATAAAATAATAATTAAAACCTTTCTCTTCAATCATAGATGAGAGATTTTCAAAAGATTCATTTCGGTTGAACATTAATTTGAATCATTTTCTATGAATAATTTACGCTTGAAAAAGTCAATACCCTTTCAATTATATAAATTTTCATTATTAATTGTAGATTTACGAATGAATATAATAAAATGTATAGAAATAGAAATGACTTAATGATAGAATTTGCGCAGATAATTTCTCTATTATTCTTATCAGCACCACATGAATGGCATTGTCAATAAGAAATTTTTCTATTTTTTATTTCTTACGTAAATCTATGCATAACGAAATTTTGTTAGGTACGAATGGTGTTTATTTGTTAATCTATGTTAAATTTTATTGTTATTTTAGATTTTATTTTATATATTTTTAACAAAGATGTTTTCAATCGAAATGTGATAATGGTGAAAACAATTTTCTTAAGTAAATCATTTGAAAAATTACTTACTGAATTCTGTTACATAGACATATATTTTATTTTTCTACCTGGATTCTTATTTTCACATATATATATCTAAATAGAATTTTCTCGATGAATTCTTTATAAATGTCTGATATACTTGTTAGCAGACGAGAAAGAGCGAAAGAAGATAGTCCATATAAACGCAATGTACTTCTGACCTGTTATTATTCGTCGGATAAATATTCTACAATGTGCGTACATATAAATCATCTTCGTCTGACGAAAGAAATAATGAAAAGAAGAAAAACTAATATTTACACTGACTTTTATAAGATTTTTATAAAAAATAGCTAAAGATTAATCTTAATAAAATATTTGTATTATAAGATTATGAATTTCTAAATTCATTATACCAGAAGTTTATTTTTCCTTTGTTCTGTTACTTCTCACGTGCCCTGATGTTTTTCTCCGTCTTTCATTTGTATGCCTTGTTAACAACGCCCACATATGATTCTCGTCAACCTCGTGGACTCCACGTAGCAATCGTCATCGTTGCTGTTTTTTTTTCTTGAGTGTCATTCGGTATTTACTATTGTTAGTTTTATCTCATTTTTCTGAATGTATTTTTTAGAATATGTTGCAATAAATTAAATATGGATACCACCAATAAAAAATCTAAACGAGAACATTCAAAGTAAAATATAGAAATTTATTAAAAAACGAATATTTTTTTATTTTATTATATTTTAGAGAAGAGTCAAAACGATCGCCTGCAAAAAGGTAAAAGACGCACATTTGTACTTTATCATTAGTTTCTTATTTCTTTTTTTTTTTATAGAAAATTTCGAAATGAAAATGAAAAACGTCGACGAGATTTATTTAGTCAATTAATTTCTAGTTTAGAAAATATACTTAATATTGATAAAAAACCATCGTCTACTGATCAAACAAGTAAATTAGATAAAGCATCAATTTTACGTGAAACTGCAGTTTATTTAAAAAACCGTCAAAATGGTAAGATATCAATCTTTTTCCTTCATTAATTATAATGAAAATATTTCACAATAAAAGAAAAAATATTTCTTTAAATATAATAAATAGATTTAACAATTCAAATAACTGCTCCATCAACCAGTTGTCGAACAACTAATGAACAAACTGACGAAGTTGTGGATTTTTCATGGAAACCTCCATCAAATTTAGTGACAACTGACGAATGGACTCAAATAGCTATAGAAGTATAAAATAGAATTTATTTTTTTCATATAAAATAAAATCAGTTTTCTTTTTTAAAATAAAGGCGATGGGCTGTTTTTTTCTTGTGGCAAAACCTGATCCATACAATGGTCAAATTGTTCATGTATCAAAAAATATTAGTTCATTACTTGATTATTCTCATGTAAATATTTCTATTAAAAAAAAATCTTTTATTCGAAAGATTTCTTGTTTTTTTTCAGAATGAACTTCTTAATCGTTCTTTATTTGAATTAATTTTACCCCGTGATCATGATCAATTACGTGATTATCTTCTAAAAGATCATAGAAGTATGAAAATTCTTAATAAATAAATAAATAAATAAAATATGTTTTAATATTTAATTTAGTTATTGAAAAATGTAATTTATCTTGGAGACGAGGTACAGCTGATGAATGTGAAGAATGTACAATTATTGGAGCATTTAGACAAGGTTAAACAAACAAAAATTACAAAAACAAGAAAAATAATTTTCCTTGAGCTTTATTTTAGTTAGTAAAAGAAATGATGAAAACGATGAAAAATATTTAATGTCAATTGTTAAAGTAAATACAATAGATCGGACATTAACAATAAATGATGATAATTCTATAAATGAATTTACAACTCGTTTAAATCTTCGTGGAAGATTTGTTCACGTTGATTCAAAGTTTGTCTATTTAAAAATTGAATATTTACATTTTTCTTTTTCTTTTTTTTTCTTAGAGCTCGTCAAATTCTTGGTTATAGTTCATATGAATTAATTGGTTATACATATTTTGATTTTGTTCATCCAGATGATTTATCAATAATGACACGAGCATATCAATTATGTTTGTTTAATTATATTTTTAAATAAAATAAGAATTTAGTTTTTTTTCTATTTTGTAGGGAAAGATAATGGAAGTGGAACAAGTGAACCATATAGATTTTTAAGTAAAGGACAACAATGGATTTTTCTTCAAACAACTTGTCAAGCTCAAATTAATTCTTGGACAGGAAAACCTGAAAGTTATATTTGTACAACAAATCTTTTGCCAAAGTCAATTTTATTTTTATCGAAAATTTTTCTAATAAAAACGAATTATTTCTTTATATTAGTTCAACGAATTTTTTACAAAAACAACCATCAACATTTTCTCAAACAACTATTTCTAATAGTAAATACCATTTCTTCTAGATATTATTTTATAAGAATTCCTCTTCAGTTATTTTACATTTCTTTAAATATTACAATTAAACAAATACAGTATTCATAATACTTTTTATATTTGTTTTCATTTTTATAAATGGAGAAACTGTCATAGAAGTAATGATCAATTCCTATTTCTCAGTCTTTTAACATTACTAACTATTATTAAGAAATGTTTTAACGTTTGATTATCTCATTGAAAAACAAATAGTTAAAATATTTGTTATTTTCGCCTGAAGCACAGCTCTGAAGTTGTGTTTCTTTCTTGGAAGATCATTTTTTTATAAGTTATTAAAAAATCTTAAATGACATTTTATTTGTTAAGATGAGGAAAGTAACATATTTCAACTTACTCTCAATTTAGTTCAATCTCCTTTAACAACAAATACAGTATTACTTGCAAATCAACAAATAAGAAGTCCATCATCAGATTCACAAATTACAGTATGTTATTTAATTTTATTTAAATAAAATAATTATTTAAAATTAGTCATTTTTATCTCAACTTGATAATGAAACGTATCGAACAAATATTCGTGAAAAATTAAATGAACGTCGATTATGTAAACAAGCTGAAATGCGTGTACGAGAAGAAGAAATAAATGTTATTGAAGATATTCTTCAATTTATTAATGAATATGAATCAAAACGTTTATTAAGATCTTCATTAAGAACAACTAATCCACGTTTACATAATCTTCCAATGATAATAAATAGTCCATTATCATCCTATCAAACAACGACTATCAATCCCGAAGGTTTTAATATTCATCAATTTGAAACAACTACTGATCCAACATTAATTCAATCACCATTAGCTGGTTCTTTTGAAGAATCATCTCCTCGATCTGTTCATAATCTCTCAAGAGAACCTCATCATCAAAATCTTCTAATAAAAGATGAACCATTAATTGATCCATTAGCATCTTCATTATTTTCTCCTCAACAAGGACCATTTAGTATTCCATCTCCAACAACACCATTTTCCATTCCATCACGTCCATCACCAATGACACCAGCACCATTATCTGTGTCTCCAATATCATCATCACCATATCCTCGTTCAATATCACCTCCGATTAATACTTCTGCAACCAATGATGCTACTAATGTAATTCCATCAACAGCATCATCATCATCATCATCATCTTCTTCTTCAACAGAACAGACTACAAAAAAATCCTCATATAATCGTTCATTACCTAAAAGTCTTGTTTCATAATTTTCATTTTTGTACATAAAACAAAAAAAAGGTTTTTTGTTTTCTACTTTGTTAAATAAAGATCGATTTATTAACGTTATAAAAAAAAACATTTTCTTTCGAATTCAATCATATCGAATAATAAGATCAAGTTTTATATTGAGTAAAAATCTATTGATAATTTTATCGATATTACTCAGTAAAAATAATGTTGACAAATAAGATAAAAATAGATATGTGCAATGATGCATGAATACACTTAATGCACACGCTATTGTATTATTCGATCATTAGAATAACAATCGTCACGTTTTATATACACATAGTCGAACAATATTCTCCTACTCAAACGATGTGTATACCGGTAAAATATTTCGAATAAATTTTTTTTCTTTAATTTTTTTTTTGTTCTCATATGATTTAGATTTGTTGTGGTGGTGGTCCAGATGGATGCTGTTTTTGTGGTATTCCTTGTGATTGTTGCGGAACAGGTGGAACTGTTGATGGAGGGTAACATTTTTCAATAGTTTTACTTTATTTTTATTGATTTATTTAGACCGATTCGAACTCAACCTACTGGATATTATTAATTAAAATGAATTCAATCTTTTCTTTTCTTTTCTTTTCTTTTTGTGTTTTTAAAAAGAATAAAAATGATATCGCGTGGTTAAAACTTGTTAACATTTTTTATGACAATCTTAAGAAGGTGAGAAATTGGTGTCATATGTGATTCAATTCATAAAATGAACAAACATCTGGTGGTGAAGAATCATTGAAATTACATTTTTAAAATGAGAATTTATTCATTGAAAGAAAGAAATATTAATTATTAACATATTCAATATTTAAGAAAGAAGAAAAAAACGACAAGTTCAATTAACTATACTTGTTTATCTATCAATTGTCTATTGTGTGTGTTATATGCTCGTTAGTTTTGTGTATATAATTGATGCCGACATTGATAAAGTGTGTGTGACACCATCATAAGAAGAAAAAGATGGTGACAATATTGATTGATCAATGTTATACTATATTGTCTTGATACATATCCAAACAAGTAATCGGACACGCGACTGTAATCAATGTTTGTTCATTTCCTTTTTACACTCTTTCGATCTTTTTATTGACGGAAACGAAAACAATTTTATTACCAACTGAAACAATCAGTTACAAATATTAAAAAAAAAGAAAATAGTTTTAGTAACGTTTATTTCATATTGACAACGAATTCAAAATAATAAATTAAATGAATATTGACAAGCATGGAGATATAAAAATTTTTTTCACCATTCGATAATCTTTTATTATCAGTTGAAAATTTTCAAAATGCTATATATATCAATAAATAAATTCGAAAAGAAAGAATTTTCGTCAAAAGTCAAGCATATTTACCAAGGAAAACTTGTAAAGTATATATAGAGTATTATGATAGGTAATTTATTTGATTGAACAAACATTTCGTTTTCTTTTTTTTATAGCTCAATAGAAATTGTAACTGAAAATATGTGTATGTGTTAACATACGGTGAATAAAAACATGTTTCGATAATTATAGAAAAGCAAAAAAAAAGCAAAAGTTTTGTTATTGATTTGAGGACATTGTTATAAACGATAATTAAATAAAAATAAAATGATGTAATTTGTTTTGATATTCTATGAATATGTTTATATTGTTGAAAATGTTTTAAAAAGAAATCTCGATTGATTGAATATTCAAGTGGATAATTGTTCTAGTCGATCACCATCAATATGTCAATATTTATAATCATTCATTAGATCATAAGAGATATAGACAACAACAGATTTTCTGGGCGGGAGACATTTGTTTTTT